TGCTACAACCGTGCAGTAAATAAATCCTAAAATGAAATGTCAGCTGAAACAGTTAGCGTCATTTGTCACTCATGTAATTTAATCCTAAAGGAGTACATCAGGTTTTCCTCATGAAGTTTTACCATCAAGGCTTCTAACCAGACAAACTATGAAGATGACAAACCTTGGAATAATTTATAATGAATATATAATATTCAATTTGGTCTGATAAATTGATTTGTTTTGCACCATGGAAAAAGCTACACCACTTTAAGAGAGTTTATGTGTAGATCCAGAAATTATTTGCTTGTAGATTCTGCTAAACCTGTCAAGACCGTGCCAGTCATTGCATATATTGCAATTTCTCATTCATACCAACTCTGCAGACCTAAAGAGGATTTTAATGGAGAAGTCAGACATGTCTGGCTGATGAACATCTCTCAGCTGCCGCCATTACTCCAAAGGACTTGTCTCATGTGGCCTGAAGATAATTTTCTTGTTGAGTGAGCCTGGGTGCTCAGGCATTTCTATTCTCTGCTGATATCCTTGAGTTCTTAAGGATTTTCAAATTAATTGATTTTGACTCTTTAGGGACACATAAGTGCAAACACGCAGCAGGAAATAGCCAAGAGTGCAGTGGAACTGTAGAGCACAAGGGTTTGTTCTGTCCTTGTGTTTGCATGCCACCTAATTTTCTCTCAAAGACCTATTCAAATTAACATGTGCATAAAGTCATCAGTCTGCATCTCCATATTTATGTAATCATACACGTGGGAGCTTCTGCCAGACTTCTAGCATGAGCGTAGTTGCTTTGATAATTTATCTTTTTATTGAATAAAATCTAAAATGGTAATAATGCTGTTTTGTTCTCTTTTTGTCTTGCTTTATTCTCATTGGTGTAAGCAACAGGGAATATGAACAAATGAGTGGTTAAAATTCAGTGTAATGAGGTGTAAGCTCTAGCAATGACCTTGTGGCATTTTTTATTTTTTTATTTTATTTTGTGTATTTGTGTAATGGTGTCATTTATGTAACAGTTTAAAATAAATATGGTGTCTTTATGCTATTATTGCAAGCAGTTCAAATCGAAAATGCATGTGCAGCCATGCTGGTATGAGATTAAAAACTCGATTCTTATCCTTGTGACACAGTTGAGTGTTTGATTTGTGTCTCCTTGGTGTATGAAAATACATTTAAGTATTGCCTTTCTCATTCAACCGTTTTATGAATTTTACAACATAGTGCACATAATTTGATCTCAAGGAAAACCAGATGGGAATAGATCGTTTTGGAAATTTTGTCTAAAAATTCAACACTAGGAGTTTCACAGTTCAGAGAGACTCCACGTGTGCTGCGCATAAAGCCATGGCCAAAATTAGTCATACCTTTGGCAGGTTTAGGATTTCATAGATTCTCATAGGAAGTGAAGAAGGCATCAGTCAAAAGATAACAATCTAAAACAAAAATAAATTTTAAAGGTCTCATATACATGTTTAAATAATTAATAGAAAATCATTTATAGGCATGTCGGCAGTCAAAATTCTTCTGATATTTGCTGGTCATCTTTTGCATGTTTCCACTGCTATAGTGATCTTTGGTGACATGCTCCAAGTCTTTTAGGTCAGAAGGCCCCCTTGCCATTATCCGAATCCTTCGCTTACTCCACAGATTAACTATCAGATTAGAGTCAGGAGTCCGACTGGGCCACTCCAGTCACAAGGGCAATTTAGGTAAAATAAAAGTTTACTTGAAACATATATCTTCCAGGTATATGAATAAAGTTGATCTTAAATGTAGCCTCCACCATAAAAGAATAATATGATTTTTTTTCCTATATATGTATTTTTTTAATAATTTGTTTTCGCATAATAACTTGTCAACAGACAATGATTTATCTTGGATTTGCAAAAAAAAATGTTAAAACATATACTTAGGTATGATAGCAAACGTGAAAAGATCTGAGTAAGTGTGAAAACAGCTTTAGAGAGCAGAACAAAGGCTTAAATTGCACACCACATACAAGCTTGACTCTTCAATTTGACTGGCAGTTTGTTTCCTGTGAACATCTGGGGTCCTTGCAAAAAGTCGAGAAGCTTGGTAGCTAAGCGCAGCAGTGTGAAGGGGCGAGCCTGCCATCTGCCAGACACCATTATCTCTCCCTGCACACACTCATGAGCTGCATCAGACTTAAGGTTTCTGCAGAGAAAGACTCCCATAAAACAGCAGCCAAAATAATAACAGTGCCAGTGTTTTCAAATTAAGTGCTGCTCTCATCTCAGGAAGCCATATGTGGCATGCAGACATATAGTGCAGGCTTCAATCCTGCCTGTGCATTGACCGTTTCTTTTTGTTGTGTGTTTTTTTTTTTTGTTTCACTCTCCCTTCTTGTTTAAAATATGTGTTTCTCAATAACACATCGGCAAAGCAAATAAAAAATATAACACAAAGCAACGTTATGAAAACAGAATTTGAAATGGCAAATAAAAGCAGACTGTTGTAGCTCAGATATTAGCTTTTCTGTACCTCAATAGATACTTTCATCTATCCGTCCAAACAAAATACCATCAATGTATACACAGGTATTTCAACACTTTTATTAGAAATCTGAACTACCTTCTGTTTTGACTTTATGGGCAATAATAATAATAAAAAAGTTTTCCACTTCCACTGCACTTCAGAGAAGCTTGCAGACTGTCTGATCCACAAGGCATGTAAAATTAGGGAGAACAAATTGGCCTTCTTTAATGCCTTTATGGAAAAGAGGCCAATAGACCTCTCCAATTTATTCAGGCTGCAGGTGCAGGAAACAGATGTGGTCAGTGAAACATGTCTGGAGTACTGACAAGATGACGAGGCAAATCATAAAGAGAGATGAGCATAGAATGGCTTTCCATCAGCACAAATCTCTCATCAAATCTGGGATTTCATCAACTCCACAATCTTCATCCATCACTCTACGAGCTTATCGGGGACCTGAGACATGCATTGTTTTTCTGAAAAAGCGCTACATCCCGAAAGCAAAATGCTGCCAACATCTGAGGAAACTAAAAGGCCTATAAAAGCTTCAGGTTGTAATTGCTGCCATAAATAATGCCAAGGTCATTAGGATTTGGCAAGGATTTGGAGAAAGGAAAGCAATTATTTTAATTTCAAAGTGAAAACAAAACATGTCACTTCATTAATATCAAAAAAGATAACATGAATGACTGCATAAATATGTACCGCATTTGACATCAGATGCATCACTGGCTGCCCTGAGTCGGACTGGATACGGCCCATCTGGTCAATCAACTCTTCCTAACAAGCTCGGGCTTTGTCAGGTGGCTTTGGGATCAATCTTTTTTTTTTTTTTTAATGTCCACCATAAGATTGTAATATGAATCAGATCTGGTCTTTGAACTGAGAGCGCCTCGGTGTCCTACTTTTTCTCTTTGAGCCATTTCTGAATAGCTTTGCTGTTTATTTGGGGCCATTGTCTTGTTGAAAATCATATATCCTGCAGTATATTTCACTGACAGTCAAATCAGATCATCCTCTTGGATTTGGCAATATTTTCTGTTTTCCCAGTGCCTGCTGCATAGAAGTACAACCAGAGCATGATGCTGCCACTGCCATGCTTCATGGTGGGTAGAGTTTTTGTTGATGTCTGCTTGTTGGTATTTGCTGTGCGGTTGAACTGCACAGCTTAAGGAAAAAACAAAAAAACAAAAAAACAACTGTGACAATGTTGCTGAAAGAAAACATTGTCCAACATGATTGTATTCATTATTATTTTCTGCTTATCCAGAGTCAGATGGGGAGGCAGCAGCCTAAGCAAAGAAGCCCAGACTTCCCAGCCACTTGGACCAGCTCCTTTGGAGGAATCCCCAGGCGTTCCCCAGGCAGCCAAGAAATGTAGTTCCTTCAGTGTGTATTTAGGCATGGTTTAATTCCACCACAGTTCATGGTTCATAGATGACTCCATGACTTCCAGCAGCGTTTTTCACAGCAGCCTTGTTGGAAAAACGGACAAAGACCTCTAAACATTTCTAACCAGACAAACGTGAAGACTGTACACCTTCCCAGTTATACCAGTTGCCAGTCAACAAGGGAGTGTTGGGTTTTTTGCAAAGTAATGTAAATTTTTGTTAATCCCCCACTGGTAGCTGATCTGGTTTGGGGTCAGTTCTTTTGAAACGTTGAGGACAATTTGCTCACATTCCAATGACCATAGCTGCTTCTTTTATTTCTATGTTTGACATTATTAGAAAGCTTAGAATCCACACTTTCAAAATCTGTAAATAATTCAAAACGCCCCTGGGGAGACTTGCTCTCGATTTTGTTGCAGCTAGTCACAAATTAACCTGATGTTTTGGAAAGATGACCTTTGGCAGTTTTACTTGCTACAGTCAGGCCTGTTGAACCAATGAATGAATAAATAAATAAATAAATAAATAAATAAATAAATAAATAAATAAAATTAAAAAGAAGCTGTATGACAACATGAAGTAGACTAAAGGATCTCAAGAAGACACATTTAATGCCCCAATTTAATTTTTTTTTTTACAATTATAGATCGCAAACAATTAAAAACATTAAAACATGGAGCAATGGTGAACCTTGCCCATCCTACTAGAATTACTTTATGAATGTACTGATTACACATTCATGGGGACACAAAACACGGCAAGCCTTTCTTTCCTTACTGAAGGTATGTTTAAGTTCATCCATGATTAAATTAACTATTTATTTAAAAATAATATCTGTCATATTTACTCAGGTTTTCCTTGTCTATTAATCTGAAACATTTCATTGTGAGGGGATAAAATAGAAAAGTCTGTAGGATACCAAATATATTTCTTACAGCAACTTCACATGGTGAAATATGTATTTCTAGATTTAGATGCAGTATTTCAAACTGTGTTTGCGTTATCGGGGGTGTGGTAAGAAACTGAACATTAACGGTATATAATGACAAAATCTGTCTCACAGCCTGTGAGACACCTGGACAAAATAATGAGCAATGTTTGCATGTTTCTTACCTGAGGGGTTGAGCAGCCGCCAGGTGATTAGAGGGTCCGGCCTGCCACTTGCCAAACAGCTGAGTGTCACGTTGCTGCCCTCATTTACAATGATGTCTTCTGACACCTTGTAGATTGTAGCTGGAACTGTGGACACAGGAGATTTGATGTGTGATTGCACTGAAGCCAGAGTATAAATAATCTCATGAATGTTTCACATAACTCTCAGAATACGTTTTCACATAAGGCAAGTGGTGATATAAAACAGGGATGACAATGGAAAAAAAAAAAAAATGCATTGCTCTTGAGAGCATAGGTGGGTTTTTTTAGAAAACTTTTTTCTGTTAAATTTTGCCTATAGAGGCAGATCCAAATAATGTGTTGAAAACAAAGATCTCAATAAGCAATTTAATCTTCTGCCCTGGAGCCCAAGCTCAAATAGACAGATTGGTTCTTTTGTCCTGTGGGAGATCCGACAGTTGTTTCGTGCTGATTTTGAGTCAAACACACCTTGAGAAGGCGGGCTTTAATGCATGATTCATAATGTATAGGTTAAAGGTTGAGTTTACCTTCCTTTTTTGTATTCAGCCGTGTCTGATTATTATTCTCCTTTGCAATCTCTGTTTACTCTGGCCTCCCAGTCCTGTCACTTTTAATGAAATAATGCATAAATAAGTAAAAAAATAAAGCCTCAAAATGAGAGATTTGGGAGGAGAAACGAGCTCTGACATATTCTGAGGGTAAAAGTGATAAAGCAAGTCATCAGCTAGCATGTAATCAATCATGACTGATGCAAAGGGCATTCATCAAGAGTTTCACAACTCTAAAGTGGCATAGATGAATAATGGTAAAGCAGAAATGCAGCCAGAAATGATGATGAACAATGGTGAATATAATGAAGTTCATTCATGTTTAATTTAAATCAAATAAAATATATATTTTTTCCACGTCTATGACATTGATTATGGAACTACTTGAGGTTTTACTTTGCAACATTGAATGAGTTTGAAAATCTAAGCCATTTTTCCCCTTGATCTGAGTCCATCTTTACAAGCTAAAACTTTCCTTTCCTTCAGTGTAACCTTATAATATCAGTAAACAAAGCAATAACCATGTGCAGTCTAGTCTGAATGCAGGTTTGCCTTTCATATTAATATTGACAGTGAAACTATATTTCCCTGCAGTGGTCATGGAAGCCCATTTTGTCCAAGATTAAAATAGTATTTGCTTTATGGATTGTGGAAATTGCAGAAAAAATCACCGAAGTTATGTCATAAACTCCAATCCTGCGTGCATGCTGTTAGGTGGCATGGAAACAATAACAACAACAACAAAACAAACAGCAACTTGTTTTATGCTTTGTTTTGTACAGAGAACTGAAGCAGGACCTTTTCATTCTGTCATTTTGACAGATGCGGTCAAAAGCATTCAATCATAATCTATTTTTACGTGTCATTTTTAAGAATAATTACAATGACATTTAACTGCATATGCTTTTCACTCGGTTTAATCAATGCTCAACAAGCTGAACAGAGAATTCACATCTTTCAAATTGACAATCAGAAGTCAGCAAGACTCTCTGGACGAGGCGCACCAGACCCGTCCAGAGAGATACACTGAGTTCATTGTCCAGGTCAGAGATGATAATTAGATGGGATTTCTTTTTCATTGATTGTTTTTATTAGTGTTAGAAAAGAGACTTCAGTTCATACTCAAACTTAACTATTCTGCTGAATACAATGTGATAGGAGTCATCATTAAAGTGTCCTTGTTTGCAATCTGTTTTACAAAATACTTTTAAAGTCACTGAGGATGGTCTGATCACTATTTGCAGATGTTTATGAGCAGCTCTCAACCTGCAACAGACTCTACATATAGTAAAGGTAATGTTGGGTCATTATGCTTTATAGTATCGCAAATACATGTGGTTGCTATGTGAAATCGGTTTCACCCATTTAATATTTACAGAATGTGTGGCCATGGATAGATGGAACTCCAGTCCTTGTTTGATCAAGCAAATGAATCACAGGACTAATTTCATAGTTGATCCCCAAAATTTCTTCCATTACGGAAATAAAATCCTAGAGTGCGTATTAAGGTTTTGAGGGTTCTAAATTGGATTTTAAGCCACTTTGATTAGCGCTGAAGGCGACCATTCTACCATTGTACGTTTTTTGTTTAGCAAAATTGCAAGAAAAACCTTTGTAAGAAATAGATCTCCTATATTTCACTGCATGAACCACTAAACGGCGTAAAGGAAGTACTTTGCAGGACGGGCTTTGGAGACTTGCCAGCGTAGCAGTTTTTTGAGGCTTCAATATCCCCATTTATCACCATCTGCCAATGCCAAGGACAGTGCTGCTTTTGACACATTCTGCAGATAAGACGCACGCTGCCACTTCTGACGTACATCATCAGGACCCTGAAGTATACAGGAAAAGAATAATGTTGACCCTTTCCCTCTTTGACACCAGGTGTTTGAAGTTCATCCTTCAGTTCATCAGCGCTACAGCCTCTCTCCACAAGGAGATTAGTCCCTTTTCTTGCTCAACAAATAGACAACATGCAGGTTTCAAGGTGCCACATTAATTTAGTTAAATCAACAATAGGCCACACTTTAAGCTGGAAAGATTTTTTGTCAAGATACAATTTTTTTTTTAAGGCAGGGCTTTCAGGTTTCTTTTTAACTCTTTGGAGATGTCTCAAAATATCTCCTTTGTCAAAAAGTATGTGCTGGTGTGTATATCTTTCTGACACTTGTGACAAAATATTTTGTTAGAACATAGAGAATAATTAGAGTAAAAATATTTTTAAAGTAATTTATTCTGCCTCTCCAAGCAGCGATAGAAATGTTTTAACTTAACTATTAAAATCCAAGTTGTTTCAACTAGGCTCTTAACAACAAAAAATGTTGCATGTCATTGCTGATTGGTGTTAGTTTTGCTGTAAATCTGAGGATGCTAAAAGGCCTGCTTCTAGTAGGTCACCTAATTGTGAAGGGTTATCCTTTGCCAATTCCTTTTTCCGGATGTAGCTCTTGTCATTAGTAAAACTTTCTCTCTCCTCCCTTCCTGAGGGAATACTTTCAAATAAAGGCCATCAATGCCAAAAGATGGATGACGATAAATGCATGTCAACCGTAGAATAAAACCTTTAGCGCTGCAAAAACACTTGAGACTAAGCCATAAAATCATCTTACAGCTCGACAACAACACTGAACATACAGCCAGAGCTAACTGACTGAAAATTAATGAAAAAAACTGTATCGCAAGAATTGAAGATTGCTGTTCAAAGTTGTTCTAAACACCCAAATAAGCTTATGTTTTGCAGCTCTTTTGCAGAAATGAACCAAAGGAAAGTTCAGACTATAGATATATTTGATAGATGTCTCTATGAACTATTGACACCAAGGGGTTGGGAGCTGAATTCAAATGCATTCCGATTTTTTTATATGCAAAATATCTTGAAAGCACTTTAATCCTTTCCCTCTACAATTATACGCTGCTTTCTAAGACAGGAAATCCTAATTTAGTATTCAGAAGTGAATGGTTGTAGTCTGATGTAAGACTTGTTAATTGGTCCAAAACAGGACTTTATGATTTTTGTGCCTAAGACACTTTTGCCCCATTTCTCCAACTCAACATCAACAGCACTCCGTGAACGGCACACGTTTAGAATCTATACTGAAAGCTTTCAATGATATGGAGCAAAACAGTCGTTTGTGAGCAATGTATCGTGTGGGAATTGTTGTTTTCTAAATCTGATAGTGTTGAACTCATTGCTCATTCCTTCACATCGACCGCATTTTCAAAGAAACGGTATTTCAATCTCTGATTCCACAGCAAGGGTATTATTGGAGCTTTATCTCTGCACAACAACACTAACAGCTTTTTCCCATCCAACGTCCCTCCATCTCTCTGTCTCTCTCACTCACACACATAACGCCCCGCTGGAAACCATCTGCCTAATACCAACTGACAGGGCAGTCACAATCATGCCACGCAGCATCTTCACCGAAGTCATACAGAGTTATTGCTGTAGTCAAATGACCTAGCAGAAATGAAGAGGTTCTTTCCAGATGTGGCAAAATGAAACAAGGGTTGCTGAGGCGAGGGGGGGCTCTCCACAGAAGTGACAAAGGACCAAATTGTCAATTGTTTTTTCTTTTTTTTTTTTTCTTTTATTTATTGATTTTCATCTACAAATCGGCTGTTGGGGTCTTGGTGGGGGGAAAACTGATGAGTGGGAGGTGTGACTGGCAAATAAATCTTCAGAAGCTGATAAAATAAATGGATCGGGAGGGGACGCGACAGCTCATGCTGCGATAATCCTGTCGCATATAAAAACGGGGAAGGAGGGACAGAAGTGTGGGCGAGAAACGAAGACGGAGAAGACATGAGAAAAGCATAACAATGGGGCAGAAAAGCAGGGTGAATGACATTTCAACTCGTGCGGCCGTAGAGCGCCTGGTGTTCAGCTGTCAGCGGTGACAGGGGGCGGGTGAGGGCGTGATCATAGGTCAGCCTTCAAGGAATATTTGTGGAAAGGGCAGCTAGCTGAAAAGCACTTCCCCTCCAAAGCTGCAGGAAAGGTGGCATGCACAGTTTGCAAAAGTTTTACCAATGAAATGAGTTATACAAGATATTTAATATTCCAATAACTGTTTGTACTTTTCAGACCTTGCTTTAGAGAATTAATGTTCGTGTTTATCATAACGCAACCCATCCACCACGCCCAACATCATCCAAATACAACAGCTCATATTCCGCGGTGGGAGATTTCCCGTCTTCATGGCAGGTTTCCCAAAAACAACAACAACCAAAAAATACCAAATGAAAAAGCAAGGAAACCACCACCAACAACAACAAAAAAAAAAAAAAAACAAAAAAAAAAATTTTGGCTAAAAAAGAAAAGGCCCTCAGACAAAAACAGAAAATTAATTAATCTCAGATGAAAACATTTTAAAAAAATATACAGTGACCTTCATTTCAACTGCTATTTCAAACTTCAAAGACAGTGATATGGTGCGCACACATAGAAAGAAAGAGTAATTAGAGAAAAACGTGTTCATGTCTGCAGGTTTATGTCCTTATCACAGTATATTGAGCAGACAGGAAGAGGGAAAAATGAAAGAAAAAGAACCTCAG